GCTACAGTCACAATGGCTGAAAAGGTATCGACATGAGCGGCGAATGAGGAGACTACGGAGAGAGAGAGAGAGAGAGAGAGAGTGGGTATGATATATGGGTATTGGGTGAAAAACCTGAGATTACAAAAAAAATATTGTAAGCATCTTCCATTATTAAAAATTAGAGAGGAATGTTAAACTAAATACCCATTTTTTTTAATGAATATTGCTAAATCTAATACATCTATGACTTTTTTTTTTCTTTTCCTTGTGTTCAAATGTTTCTCTATTTATACAATTTTTTTCCCTAAAAATTATTCCTTTTGTTTTGACCTCTTGTAAATTTTATATTTTAATAATTTTTAAATTAGGATCTAAAAAATGTAAATATCCTCTACATTACTTTTTAAAATTTCTCTACATAATATTTAGCCCCTTTAAGAATAAAATTCTAATTCTGTCTTTGAGATTAGAGAAAAGAAAAAGTAATATTGAGAATAGCAATATTCAAATTTAGATATCACACCTATAAAATAACATATCATCCACAAAAAGCTTGAGCAACATAAAAAGGGATCGGATTCCCTCAAGTTAGGTGACTAACTTGAGAGAGCATTTGAGATTGGTGGGTTCATTATAGGGCCAATCTTGGTGATCCGAACCAAAATTTTTTAAGATTTCTTAAATAGAATATTCATACAAAAAATTAAGATAATCATATATTAATAACTAATACAAATGTGATTCAAACGTATAACTATCGATATATTAAAACCTTAAACCCTAAATCCAACAAACTTAAGAGAATCCAAACCCACATAAAAATGTATAGAATAACGCTATATGTACCAATTAATGTACACATTAGTGTACTAACAAATGATATGACATCATTTATATGGTTTTACGTATTTGTAACTTGTATAATAAATATGGTCAATAATTATATCATAATATTAGTTGATACACCAGTGTGTACAATAATCGGTACATGTAACACTACTGAAATGTATATCTTGATGTAGGGACAGAACAAAACAAGAAATTATCGCTACATTAAAGCCACATCAAGCCAACAAAGTTTACAAGGGGACCAAGCTTCCTGACCAAGTTTCCTAAGTTGCTCCAAAACCATGCAACATTACAAATTCAATTGCCTTTCAAATTATGGGCTAATGTAGTGCAATTTATGAGACCTTATATAGGTTTTTTTCCTTTTTTTTTTCTTTTTTCAATCAATATTTGCAAAAGTGTGTGGTATAATTTTTATTTAAGACTTTCAAGTAAAAATAGCTTAAATAAATTAAAAAAACTAATTATTGAAAAATTAAGAAAAATATATTTTCGATTTTTATTTTCTAATTATCAACTCTATAGCAGCTTTTAAATATAGACGTGGGGTATTTGGGAAGAGGAGTGAGTTAAAATAGCCCATTAACAGGCAAAATAGGCTAAAATAGCCAATAAGGTAAAATGTCATATCCAATCCATAATCATTTCACATTTTCTCTTACAACTATCAAATCAACTACAAAAAAAAGTCAACCAACTTTCCAAACACAATTATTTTAACTAGGCTAAAATAACAAAAAAGTCAAATGCCAACTAAAATAGCCAACTTCCCAAACAAGGCCTAATTTCTCTTTACACATATCATATGTATTTTAAGGGTGATTCTATTTGTACCACACATTTATCTCAATAGACATCTCATTCAACAAATTGTTTTTATTATAAATTTATCTATTTCTAAATTTATCATTAAAGGTATAACCCTAAAAATTTAATTTCTCATTACACCCTCCATTTCCCCACTAACCCTAACAACCCACCACCATTGCCTCTTTTCCACCACCACCTCTCTTCGCCCTAACCTTCGTTGTTGCTACTAGTCTAACTCCTCCGCCACCTCATCATTCCCATTTTCTCTCCTTTTCATTACACACCACCATGACCTCTCCATCGCCTCTTCTCTCTCCCTACCACCTCCTTTCTCTAGATTTCTTTTCCCCCATGCCATCTCCTTTCCTAAATCTACCTTATCTTCCATTCTTTTTCTTTTTCTTCCTTCTCAATGCCCTAGATCTAGAAATAGGGAGTTGCAATTGGGAGAAGGGGCTAGAAAAGGAAGTCGGAGTGGCAGAGGGGGACTAGGGAAGGGTTCATGGTAGGAAAGCGGTTAGAGAAGAGTAACACTATAGAGAAGGGGTCACCAGTAGGGGTTTTTGGTGAGGGTTGTCGATAGAGGATAGAGAAAGCTAGGGCGAGGGTGATTACTAGTGGGAAGGAGGTTGCTGTGAAAAAAGGCTGGGGGTTGGTCTTGTTGGAGGTGTCAGCAGTGGCATATGGTGGTAGTAGATGGAAGAAGAATAATGGATGAGAGAAAAGAAAAAGATAGATGTAAGGAGAGATGTGATGTTAGTATATTGAAGGTTGTAAATAGATGAAATTTGAAATAAATGTAATGAAAAAATAGGTATAAGGAGATCAAAGTGCTGTGTAAATTTATTGTGAATGTTGTATCTTATGTAATAATACATGTGTTTGTTAGAAAATTTTTTAATGTGTTTACTGAAAAGCTAACGCTCTCTATGCAATTTTCGGTAAATGACTTCCACCGGTTATTAACATCAATTAATTAATTTCAATTCTATATAATTTTTTTTAATGAATATTGCTAAATCTAATACATCTATGGCTTTTCTTTTCCTTGTTTTCAAGTGTTTCTCTATTATATATATTTTTTCCCTAAAAACTATTCCTTTTGTTTTGTCCTCTTGTATATTTTATATTTTAATGATTTTTAAATTAGGATCTAAAAAATGTAAATATCATCTACATTACTTATTTAAATTTCTCTACATAATATTTAGTCCTTTCAAGAATAAAATCCTAATTTTGTCCTTGAAAATAGAGGAAAGAAAAAAGTAACATTGAGAACAATAATATTCAAATTCAGACATCACACCTGATAAAATAACATATCATCCATAAAAGGCTTGAGCAACATAAAAAGAGATTGGATTCTTTAGATGACTTGAGAGAGCAATTGAGATTGATGAGTCCATTATGGGACTGATCTTGGTGATCTGAACCAAAGGCTTTTTATGATTTCTTGAATAAAATATTTATACAAAAAATTAAGATGATTAGATATCAATAGTTAATACAAATATGATTAAAACATATAACTACCGATGTACTAAAACCCTAAACCCAATCAACTTGAGAAAATCTAAACCCACATAAAAAATGTATACCTAGATGCAGGGAGAGAACAAAACAAGAAGTTATTGCTACATTAAAGCCACATCAAGCCAAGAAAGTTTACAAGGGGACCAAGTTTCCCAAGTAGCTCCAAAACCATGCAACATTAGAAATTCAATTGCCTTTCAGATTATGGTCCAATGTAGTTCAATTTATGGGACCTTATATAGTTTTTTTTTTTTTTTTTTCAATCAATATTTGCAAAAGGGTTTGGTATAATTTCTGTTTAAAACTTTCAAGTAAATATAGCTTAAATAAATTTAAAAAAACTAATTATTGAAAAATTAAGAAAGATATATTTTCAATTTTTATTTTCTAATTATCAACTTCATACAAATTACACAAAATCCCAGATAAGCTCCATATACCGAACCACCAATAACAAACACGACAATGCTACGTAGCTCAAGTTTTGTGACTCAAAAGTGGCTCAAATGGCCCAAACGACGTCGTTTTGAGTAAAGAACAACATAAAAATAGCCAAAACGACGTCGTTTTGGCCATTTGAGCCACTTTTGAGCTACAAAATTTGAGGTATGAGACATTTTCCTAACAAAAAGAGCCACAAGGAATGGGGGAAATGGTGGTTAAATCTATTCAAGAGCAAGCAGCCTAAGATACTACTCGTTCTGCAATGGATAATACATGAAGTGAAAAACAATTTTTAGTGCCTTTAGATTTCGATCTTATAATTGTGATTGTTATGAGACAAAAATATTACAAAAATAAGAATTTGCAACAAAAAGCATCGAAACTTCACTTGCGCAGTCCGTAAAAGCTAGAAAGCAACTCAAGCCAACTCCCTTCAACCTAATTGCAACAAACAAGGAACCGAAACTTCGGTCACGCATAAAGTGAAACTAGAAACCTACCTATCCAACTCCCTTCAACCTAATTCAGGCTCCATTCAAGGCCGTGTTTGGATCTTCCACTATTTTTTTTCTTTTCCGTTTCATTTTCATTTTCGTCCACAAAATCACTTCACATATCCTAGATCCAAACACAACTTAATGCAAATTTCAAGTTCACAATCACAACCATCTGTGCAATTAGAATATGCCTCTGATTTCCACCTGTGTGGTAGAATTATCATACCCATGGTACAAATTTGTTTCCACGAACGCCTCAATGGATAAAAAAATCTATGCTTCAATTGCAGTACCGGATATAAAAGTAACTTTCAAAGCATTCCAAACTGCAATTCACCAGCTGTGAAAGATACCCAAATCCCTATTTTATGCAACAATAGGGTCCAGTCCTTTAGAAACCACTGCAGTGAAATTTCAACTGCAGTATCCCAGTATCCAAATATGTAATCATCTAAGCCACTAATACACAGACATGACTCTCCTCAACCACCCATTCAGTCCTCAAGCAACAATCTCTTACCACAAAACATAAATTTTATCTACGAAGAGACGAGCAAAGCAAGATGACATGATGCCCTAACAATGCTTCAAATCGCTTTCCTTCAAATCCATTTGCCCTGCATTCAAGATGATTTGCAGCAACATTCACGAAACCATCAATCTCAAAACCATTGACAATCACTAAATCCACCTCTCAATGCAAATTAATTCATAAAAGATTGCAATGACTCATCCATTTCACACAAATCCTAATTCTCTCAGCTTCAAACTCCTCAACCAATTCAAATTGTGATTCTTCAAGTGGGCATTTGAAGAATCAAATGACAATTAATGAAGCCAATCACCAACATCTGCTGCATTTTAAAACTACCATCAAATCCCATAAGTAAAAAGGCACTGCAATTTTATCACTAATCATAATCAAGAAAACAGTCATCTACTTCATATTAGCCCATAGTCAGATTAACATGAACAAAGTAACTACAACAAGAACTACCACAACCTACACAACATATGTACAAGAATTTGCACTAATAACAACAAACTTTCTAAAAATTTCCCCAAAGCGATCCATCATCAAGTTAAAGATATATCACCTTCACACACCATCACCGTCGCCAGTACTCTTCTCCGAGCAAATATCACCGCCCGTCTGGTTCTCCGACCAATTCTCTGACGCCTCATCTTTGTTATTCGTGGCTTGCCCACCGTCATTGTTGGTCTCCAAGCATTGAACCCTCTTTCTCAAATCCCCCAATTCTCTCTCCATCAAGAAAATCCTCTCCTTCAAAGTCAAATTCTCTTCCTCCAATTGAGCTATATGAGTGTACTGATCATCAACCCTATTCTCCAACAGATTAGTCTGATCATCTCCACCATTCGGATATATCATCTCGAATCGACTCAAATCGTGATCTAACCTCCTCTCCACCTCAACATGCTCTTCAACATCACTATCACTCGATCCTCCTCCAATTTCTTCTTCTTCCTCCGCCTCATGATCTTGCGATGAACGGAGACGAATCAAGCCCTTCATCGAACCATAACCATCCACACCCCACTCTTCCTTCGCCATATCGACCAAAACCTCCCTCGACGGCGAGAAAATCGGGGACGGAAGAATCGCCGGAGTCACCGGACATGGCGAGACCAAGGAAGCGATTCCGCCGGACTTCTTCGCACGGATTATGAACGACGTCGTGTTCCGAGGAGCGAACGGAGCGAAACGGTTGTTGAATTTCTTCTTAGGGTAGAATCGACGAGCTTTGAGACGATTCTGAGACTGTAAATCGTTCAGATTCGGTGGTTTGTAGATGTTTCCGACTCCGAGAGGGTCTTTCCAGTGCATTTCGTTGCGTTTTTCCGGATTCTTGCCTCTCCAATTGCTTCGACCAAGCTTCGTAGATCCGAAATTCGGTCTCTGAAAAAACTTAAATTTCAATGGATCGTCGTGTGGCGGAGGCGGCGGCGCCGGCGGTGGCCAATGTCCGAAGCTTCGATTCAGCATCTGAGACTGGTCCATGATCTTACACCGTTCGATGATCTAATCAACAGTCATGATTTCACTACCAAAAAAAAAAAACCTTAAAATCTTCGATTAACGACCTCAATGATTCGGAAATTGAAATTCAAGCCATGGATTGTCGATCCAGATGAAAATCAGAGCGTTAGGGTGATTGAAATTCGAATTAAATTTAATTTATTTGGAGTGTTTTGAATTGAAACCCTAAAAACCCTAGAAAATGTGGATAATGATGATTGATGTTGTTGTTATCTTCTTTGTTTGTGTTGATGGGGGTGTTCGTTGGTTGAAGAAGATTAAGGAAGAAGAACCGCACGTGAATGTCACGTGACTAAGTCCAGATAACTATTCTCATTGTGAAAACGCCTTCGTGTCGGCTTCAGATGGAAGTGTTGCTTTAGTACGTGGAGAGGGTGAGGGATGAACGGTTGGATTTTTAGGGATTTCTTTATCCTACGGCTGATATTGTGACTTGTTCATTTCAGATCCGGATTCGTTGGCTTCGAGGAAGGGAAAATTATCGAGTGCTTCGCAAAAACACTCTAATCTATATAGATATACAAAAATGCTTAGACCCCCAAAGTTGGGACCCTCATAACTCTCAAAATGATGCAGACTAATAATGTATTTTTTTTTTTGAACCAATACAGGTGAGTATGAGTTGTGGGGGTTATATTTTTTAGCGATCTGTAATATTATATATATGAGGCTCATTTTGGCAATTTTGTTTTATTTATTTATTAGTTTTTTTTGATTTTTTTGAATCATATTAACTCTTTACTTTTTTTTATACATTTTTAAAAAAGAAAAATTAAAAAAATCAGCTTTTAACTTATTTATCAAAACAATCCTAAGCAAAAGAGGATTTTTACAAGAAGCATTTTGAGAGTTCCAAAATCTCATAATAAATTGGTAGATTTATTGACTTACAAAATAAATTTAAAAAGAAGTATTGACTCTAATTATGTATTATTTTTTTTTTTTTGGAACCAATAAAGGTGAGTATGAGTTGTGGGGGTTGTGTTTTTTAGAGGTGTGTAATATTGTTGATATATATATGAGGTTCATTTTGGCAATTTTATTTTATTTATTTATTAGTTTTTTTTGACTTTTTTGAATCATATTAACTCTTTACTTTTTTTTATACATTTTTAAAAAAGAAAAATTAAAAAAATCAGCTTTTAACTTATTTATCAAAACAATCCTAAGCAAAAGAGGATTTTTACAAGAAGCATTTTGAGAGTTCCAAAATCTCATAATAAATTGGTAGATTTATTGACTTACAAAATAAATTTAAAAAGAAGTATTGACTAATCCATTAAAGTAATAGTTTTCAAAATATTAATAATTTTTTAATTTATAATTTTCAAAAGAAAAGATAAAAAAATATATATTTCATATCTTTTCAACCTAATCATCTTCCATTGATTTTTATTTCCTTTAAAAAAAAATTAAAACTTACTTTTTACTATATTACTATATTATTCATACCATATATAATTACTCTCAAATATTTAAAATTCATTATAAAAATTATGAACCTTGAAAATATTTTATTTAATTTCGAGTGCTGCTATTAGCACATCGTCAATTATTTTAGACCCCTAATTTCTTTGGACCCCTCGCTTATAAATTCTAAAACCTTTAAAATTTCTTTTTTCTTCTCAAATAATACTAAAATTATCCTTGTAAAAATATTATATCTATTCAATTGAATACACACCCCTACACTCCCACAACCCAAAAAGCCTCTCTCTCAAAAACCATAATTAACAAAACCCATGAAGGTGATTATTACTCCATCTCCACGTACTTGTTCATGACTTGAGAAAAATAAATGTAGCATTTTTTTTGTTATTGATTCAAAATTCTCCTTTCGTGGTTCTGCGATCTCCACGAATTTAGATTTGTGATATTTCAGGTTGGTTTCTTTGGATTCTTAGACAGTTTAAATTCTTGTTTCTTATCTTACTTAGGTTTTGTGATTTTAAAGTTTAAAAAAGGTTCATTAATAATGTTCAGTTACCTGTTCCTGAACAAATAAATAATGTCCGGGCATGTGTTCTCAAATTTCGATCATGTATTCGATAGTTCAGTCCCAAAAAAAATGACATAGTTTTTATTATTTTTGTCATTTTTTTCAAGAAACTTACTCTTACAAGGCTAATCTCTTCTGAGTTAAGAACACCATCAAAACTACGAACCTCCTCTGAGTTTTTATTGTTGTACTCCTCTCGTCTCATGGAGTTGTGGTTGCTGGAAAAAATTTCACTCATCATCATTACTGGAGAAGTGTAGGTAATCAAATAGTTGCCGCCATTACTGTCAGAATGTTGACGCCAAAAAGTTTTCAAAGTTTTGAGGGTGGGTAAGTTTTGAAGATGAGGACTGCTTAATGTCATTATTTTTATACTTTGGACCCCCTACTTCTTTGGTCCCCACAATTAAAATTGCTTCCCTCTTTATTTTTCTTTGGACCCCTATCATAATCTCAAATATACCCTTTGAACCCCACCCCTACACCTTTTACCTTCAATTCCTCATTTCTTCCTTCCTCTGGCAGTCCCCCTCCCACTCTAGCAACCCTACCTCTCCGGCAACTTGCTCAAACAACAGCAATGACAATAATAATAGATCAACCTTTTGTTTCCTCGGAATATCAGCTAGATGCGAACTATGTTTCAAGGAATGTAATAACCTTGGAAGTGTAATGGGTATAAGTTCAAAGGGTGATTCCTTCATTGTAGAGAATCACATTGATGTTGGTAAAAGATTAATGATGAATAACCAGTTTGGAAAACCCATCTTTTTGCCTTTGTTCGCCGCCGTTTGAAAAATCAGTTTTGAACAAAATCCTGATGTTCAGTACTATGTAGACGAACAAAAGGCATATGTTCAGTTGTAGAGTACGAACATATTCAACAAGTTTAGTTTTGCATAATCGAATGAAGAGAAATTTACCAACCTGTTAAGTAAAGAGAGAAATTGATAGGGAGAGAGGGAGTTGTGCAAAAAAGAGAGAAAACAGAGTAGGTTCCGAAGGATAAAGATAAAGATTGCGAAAGAGAGTCCGTAAATAAGTCACTCCTTCTCCGTTGTGGCTACAGCCGCCCCTGCCACCAAAACCTTAACCTTCGCCGCCAATGATAGTTTTGTAAACAATAGGTAGTGGCGAGAGGCTTGCTGAAGGAGAAAAATAATGAAGGTGTGTTGGTTGCCGAAGGCCGCGTGGCAGGAGTGGAAATGGTGGTGCGATTAGGATTAGGGTTAGGGTTAGACTTGGGAGGATAGGATGAGGACAAAATTAATATTTGATGTTAAGACAAAATTATAATAAAAAAAAATATTTAAAGAGGGGTCCAAAGTAAAAAGGTAGGGGCATTTAGCAGCCCTATTTTTTTTTATTACAATAATAACCTCAAATGAAATTACTAAATATGATATCAATAATTTTAGGACACCCCATCTCACAATTAAACCCCCACACACATTACATCATGAGTTACGGTTTATGAGAACACCCACCTCTATCAACACCCATCCATCTTCCCCAAATCTCACCTTCAAAACCTACACACCCTCAAAACCTTGAATACCTTTTAGCGACAATATTTCGATGGTAACGATGGCAACCATTTGATTACCTACACTTCTCCGACAGCGACAATGACAATGACAATGACAATGACAATGACAATGAGTGGAAGTTTTTTCAACAACTATAATTCTATAAGACAAGAGGAATACAACAATAAAAGCTCAGAGGAGGTTCATAGCGTTGATGGTGTTCTTAGCTCAAAAGAGATTGGCCTTACAAAGATAAGTTTCTTAAAAAAAAAAGAGGCAAAAATAATAAAAACTGTTCGTCATTTTTTCGGGGACTAAACTCCTGGACATATGACAAAAATTCGAGAATACAAACCTGAACATTGTTTATTTGTCCGAGAACAAATAATCGAACATTTATTTTCTTAGGTCATGAATAAGTATGTAGAGATGAAGTAATAATCACCTTCGTGGGTTTGTTTTAGGGTTTTTGGGAGAGATGTTTTTTGGGGTGTGGAGGTGTGTATTCAATTGAATGGGTTGAATGTTTTCATAAGGATAATTTTGGTATTATTTGAGAGGAGAAAAGAAATTTTAAGGGTATTAGAATTTATAAGTGGGCGGCAAAGAAATGAGGGGTCTAAAATAATTGATGAGATGCTAATAGTAGTACTTATAAAAAAAAAAAAAAAAAAAAAAAAAAAAAAAAAAAAAAAAAAAAAAAACTATCATTCTAAACACAACTTTTTTAGTCATGCTAAAATAGCTACAAATACTAGTAAAAAATGTCTCTTAATGTAAACAATATGTGTGTGCAGAAATGAAAGTTGTAAATGTCATCTAAATATATATATATATATATATAATACAAATGGAAGGTCAAAATAAAAATAAAAAATTTGAAATACAAGTTTAGACAATTACGTACAAAGGTAATTTGGGTAAAGAAAATACATGACTTCTAAATCCTCAATTATTTGTCTGGACTCCTATTATTATTATTATTATTATTTTTGGTGGTGGGGGTGGGGAGGGGGAGGGGGACACCTACATAAAAATTTTAAAATATTGTAACACCGTTCAGGGTATTCATGCACATTAAATAGTTCAGAACTTCGATTTTTTCGATCTAATTTTACGAGTGCAATGTGAAATATAGATGAGAGTTCAGATTTGATAACTTTTATAGAAAATCTATTGTATTACAAATTCTTTCCCAGAAATGGATTACATCCCCAGATCTTAAAATTGCCACCTAATATTTTGGAAAAATTAAAAAACCTGTAACTTATGCTAAGGCCACTATTCATCGTAACCAAGGATGCTTGGCTCAGAACCTTAGGTATGAAGGGAGAAAGTCATTAATTGAGCACCCCTCGCTTATCCGATCAAAAGATATGCCTTTACTAAGCCATGATATGATTTTTATTAACTTTATATGTTTATTTCAATTTATTTAATAATAAATCCTAAAATTTACTATATGAAGGAAACAAATACAGGCTGTGTCATTCAATTTGGAATAACTTGATTTCATTATTTTGAAAATGTTTTGAATAGCATACAAAACACAGAAAATTGAGTTTTACACATGAAAATCAATGATATTCCAAATTAAATAACACAACCTTCACCCACTAGCATACATAAAGGTATATGAAATAAGCACATAGTCACATGGTAAGATGCTAAACATAGTAAGAAAATCACACACATGCGGATGTTGAAGCACAAAAACTTACATATTTACCGCCGATCCGCCAATAATTACAAAACAAAAGTAGTAAACATATGTATGATCCTATATACAAGATCCT